TTGATGCCGAGGACATCAAAAAGGTCGAGAATTATGCAAAAGCAATAAACATGCTTTATTGTGCCGTAAATCCTGATGACTACCGCAAGATCTCTTGCTGCTCAACCGCCAAAGAGATGTGGGATAAACTTGAGGTGACGTACGAAGGAACGGACCAAGTACGTGAAGCCAAGATTGACTTCCTCACCCAAGAATATGAGATGTTCAGGATGAAGGAGCACGAGAATATCGATGATATGTTCGACCGTTTTTCCAAGATAGTCAACGATCTTCATGCATTAAAGAAGACTTACACCTACGGAGCTTGACATCCGAATGGCGATCCAAGGCCGATGCCATCTATGAGTCAATCGGCACATCAACTGTCACCATCGACGGTTTAAGAGGTAATTTAAAAACTTATGAATCTACTATACTTAACCCGTCTTTGAATGACCAGAGAAAAGGCATAGCATTAAAAGCCTCCAAAGAACCGACAATGAATGACTCAAGCGACGAAGATGAAGTCAAGCTAATCATGAAGAAGTTTTGCAAACTTCTAAAGAAAGAGAAGGTTGAGGATGGCCCTGTGTGCTATGGATGTGGTGAAGCCGGGCACATCAAGAATAAATGCCCAAGAAGCGGAAGGAATGCTCGTCACTTCAAAAAGCAAAGAGCATACATCTCTTGGGGTGGCGACTCCGGTGAAGAGTCAAGCGAACAAGAGGAAGAAGAGGAAGCAAACCTTTGTCTCATAGCTCAAGAAGAAGAGGAGTCCACCAACAACGAAAACCAAGAGGTATGTATTTCTTCTACCAGTTCTTATTCTCTTGAAGAAATGCAAGAAGCTCTCCAAGAGCTTTATGACGAGTTTGTTAGCGCTTCTAAAACCAACAAAGCTTTAAAGAAACGTCTTTCTAATCTTGAAACTGAAATTGAAAAACTACAAAAGGAAAACGAAAAACTAAAAGAGGAAAATAAATTTTATGGTAAAAAAAGCGCCGACAAACCCGAGAGCTCTACAAACATTGTGACTCTTGCATAGCTTTGATAGAACAAGTTGCTGAACTAGAAAACGCGGTGAAGAAATTTAATAAACCACATAAGGATCTTAATCTCATTTTTGATTCTATGCAATACACTAAACAAGGAATAGGTTTTGGGAAGATTGATGAACCTAAAAATAAAGAAAAAGTTGAGCACAACCGTAAACCACCTAGAGCTCAACCTAAGAAAGATAAAAATAAAAATAATAGACAACCTAGACAAAAGGTTAGTCATGAACACGAGCACTCTAGGCAAACTAGGAGGAATTATCAAACTGATTTTATGGACACAAATAATTTTTCAAATAGACAAAAGAATGCTAGAACACCTAGAAGAGAGAATCTTCAAAATACCCAAAAACCAATATTTTCTCAAAATAGGATGAAAATGGTTAGACCCCCTAGCTATTACCAACCTAGGCATATGTTCAACCCAAATGTAGTATGCCATTATTGCAATAGGGTAGGACATATAGCTCCCGTGTGTTTCACTAGACATAGGCACTTGACCTTTAATGAAACACACACCATATTTAGTGCTGACGAAAAGAAATCTTTTGGAAAAGGATATTCGAATCATAAACAATCTCCACAGGATAGTGCACAAAAGAAACCGTATTATTTCTTCTACTTTGACGAAAAGAAGAAAGTCCACATTCCGTTACCGGAACCAACACAGACCACACCGAGATATCGGCACACCGTTCGAGTAGACTGGAACCCGCCAACCACTAGACAATGGGTTGGCCAAGGTAACTCCTAAACAATCATTTAATTGTGTGTGTGTGTGTGTGTGAATTTTGGGTGTGTGTGTGGGAAATAAAGGTCAACTAACCCCCAAGGACCCATAGACATACTTTGGGTACCAAAGTGTTATTCTTTTTTGCAGGGACGGTTCAAAGTGAAGAATTCTGGAAATCAGGGAGAACCAGCGATGGGTGGGCAATACCATCGCTGGGAGGGAAGTTTTCTTTTTTTCAGAACCCCTCTTCCCATCGATGGGTGCTTCTTCCCATCGATGGGTAATTGACTCTATTTTTTAAAAACCTTTTAACGGATTTCCAGAAATACCTTACCCATCGATGGTTATTTCATTCCATCGCTGGGTGAAGGACTTTTGTTGAAATATTTTTCAAGAAACACCCTACCCATCAATGGGTCTCTTATCCCATCGCTGGGTAAATGATTTCAGCTTCAAAAGTTTTTTCAGAACCTCCCCACCCATCGATGGAAACTTTCTCCCATCGCTGGGTGTTTGACACTATTTTTTTAAGCGTCTTCTCGGATTTCCAGTAGCCACCTTCCCATCGATGGGTGAGTTCTACCATCGCTGGGAAGGCAGCCTTGTTTTCTACTGACTTTCTAAACGCTTCAACAATGGCCAAAGGAATGTCAAGGACCTAAACCGAGGCTTCAAGGAAGAAGGCCAACTCCGATGCCACGACATCTTCTTTATTTTTCTCCTTATTAAATATGATTGTATTTCTTATTTTTTATCCGTTGTATTCTACATTTCCCTTTTAAATGAATAAAAGTTTACTTTTAATTCTTTTTGTTAATGTCAAAAGGAGGAAGATATAAAGGTTATGCATAGATTGAGGGGGAACTATTTCTAAATTGCATTTAACATTTTTTTAGTCTCAAATCAATCCTCCTATGCATAACCCCGTCTTGTTTGCCATTATCAAAAAGGGGGAAATTGTTGAAACACGGGTTTATCGTGTTTTCGTACTAAAGCCACGTTCGTTTTTATGACAGGTTTTGATAATGCCAAACCGCCGTGAACGAGACAAGTTATTGAATATACAAGGCGAGAAATAAATTTAAGTAGAAAGCAAGAGAACAAGACCCAAAAGAAGACCAAGAACGAAGACCGTTGTCTTAGTGTTGTTGAGTCGGTCATAATTGTGATCAAGACCGACCCAACCTTTACACCTTGGCTCTTTAGGCTAAAATTATTTTCATTGCATTTCACACATCATAAAAATGTTTTTCAAACATGTTTAAAACATTAAAAACACTTGGTGTTCTCCCAAACCAAAAATCAAGCCATCCGGCGTTCGGGTTTCAGAAACCAGCGTTCGGCTTTCGGTCGTCGGGTTTGGTTTTTGGCGTCCGAACTAACCAAGTGGTTTTCAAATTTTTATGATTGGTTTTTACTTCTGGGCACATTTAAATAGTTTTCCATCAAAAACACTTCAAAAACCACCTTTCGCTTTTAGTCGTTTGACAAAAACCACGCGAAACGGCATAAACTTGGCTAGCCGTGGTTTTCACTTAAATGAAGTGGTTTTCGAGTCTTTTTGTGGGAATTGTTTTTGAATTCATTTAAATGGTTCTCCAATCAAAACATCATGAAAACCACCTTCCGGTTTTGTCTTTTGGTGAAAACCACCCGTTTACGGTGTTGACTTGGTCAACCATGGTTTTTACCTTAACAACGTGGTTTTCAACTTACAAAGCTTTTTTTGACATCACAATACATTAAAAAAGTGTTTTAAATACTTAGTTTTGACTTTGGAGAACTTTGCATTTTTCGGTCGGGTTTGAGCGCCGGTCGGCTAGGCCATGGTTCTGGGCTAGCCATCTACCCAGCGATGGTAGACTTTACCCATGCATGGGTATGTGATCCTGGGATTCCAGAATCATGCTACCCAGCG